GGGTAAAAGTGCATCAGAAGCTTTGGAAATGGTGAGGAAAGCTTATGGAGAAGCTGCACTATCATCTGCACAAGTGTACCTATGGAACAAGGCCTTCAAGGAAGAACGAGAAGATGTTAAAGACAAACAATGATCAGGACGCCCCTCTTCATCAAAAAATTGAGAACGACACACATCCACAACACCTCGCCCCAAGAAAACTTGAATGAGTAAGTCAAATCAATGGTCATTGGGGTTTTTTTTATTCACATGGGATTGTCCATAAGGAACTTGTACCTACTGGTCAAACTGTGAATCAAAGATTTTACCTTGAAGTTCTTGTTCGCTTGAGAAAGAGTTTTTGGCTCAATTTGGGACCTTCATCATGACACGCACCAAGTCACAGTACTTTGGCTCAGAGTTTTTGGCTGAAAAAAAAACACATCATGGTGCTTCCCTATCCAACCTACAGCCCTAACTTGGCTCCTTGTGACTTTTTCATATTCCCAAAGATGAAGAAGTGTGGATAACGTCCAAGGAACCACTGTGACAGTGCGCAGTGTCAGACCCCAGCCCTTCTCACCAACTTGTGACCGAAGGACTAGCCGTTCTATGACTGCTCTGTCATTTGCGCAACAAAGCCACTCTCAGCTGCGCCCTGTACAAAGATTTTCCAGCTCGCTGGACCACAATCTATGTGCCAGCAGCCTGAGAGCGATTGTTACTGGGTCAGGTTAATTACGCAATTAACCCTTCACACTGCCACCACCATCTTTTTGCAGAGAAAGTGGAAACTCACAAAATCTTAGCAGTAACACTATGATATTTGAATAAGCGTCTGTATACACACTGCCACTGCAGACAGATGTATTCAGAGGGTTAATACATATAGTAGCACTCTCCAGAGACAGGGATCGTTTAGTTTGCATTAAAAGCTTTAGAGACCGTTTCAACACTTTTCAGAAAATAGGATTTATTACTAAAAAGGTCAAAATGGTGCAATTAAAGTATTTACAGAAAAGATGTAACAAGTATATATATATAAATAGAGCAATAAAACAACAGAGAAATAAAATAAAAAAGTTTCAGAAGGCAGGATACTTGCAAAAAGTCCTTGGTTTAAGCAGAGTCCAAACGTCTGAACAAAAAGGTTGCCTGTCTACCAAAGATGGTTCCTGGTGTTAAAAGGGAGAATCTCTTCTTGCTCTCTCCAGGTATGTCAGCCTTTTTTTAGTATCCCCACGGGGGTGTCTCCTGACAGTGAAGAGCTAATCGCCTCATTTGGGGATGGGTGTTAGGCGGGGACCCAGGCTATGACCAAATCCCTTATAAGTTTATACCATGGTCAATAACCTTCAATAGGTACATGTAGCATCCTGGCCACTGGCATATTAATATGCAGAATCATATTCTGAATGTCCAGATATCAAATATGGCATATCCTGCCACTTCGGATAAAAATATATTGCTATCTACCCTCTTGTAGAAGCTACCTAGGGATGTAAGGTGTCAGGTGTCTCGTATTAAAATGACCTATCTGAATATACAGTCATGGCCGAAATTGTTGGCACCCTTGATATTTTTCCTGAAAATCAAGTATTTACACAAAAAAGGTATTGCATTAACACATGTTTTGCTATACACATGTTTATTCCCTTTGTATGTATTGGAACAAATATAAAACAGAGGCAGAAAAGCAAATATGACATAATGTCACACAAAACCCCAAAAATGGGCTGGACAAAAGTATTGGCACCCTTAACTTAATATTTGGTTGCACACCCTTTGGAAAACATAACTGAAATCAGTCGCTTCCTATAACCATCAATAAGCTTCTGACACCTCTCACCCGGAATTTTGGACCACTCTTCCTTTGCAAACAGCTCCAGGTCTCTCTTATTGGAAGGACACCTTTTCCCAACAGCAATTTTAAGATCTCTCCACAGGTGTTTCAATGGGATTTAGATCTGGGCTCATTGCTGGCCACTTCAGAACTCTCCAGCGCTTCTTTGCCATCCATTTCTGAGTGCTTTTTGACGTATGTTTGGGGTCATTGTCCTGCTGGAAGACCCAGGATCTTGGACGCAAACCCAGCTTTCTGACACTGGGCCCTACAGTGCGACCCAAAATCCTTTGGTAATCCTCAGATTTCATGATGCCTTGCACACAGTCAAGGCACCCAGTGCCAGAGGCAGCAAAACAACCCCAAAACATCATTGAACCTCCATTATTTTACCGTAGGTACTGTGTTTTGTTCTTTGTAGGCCTCATTCCGTTTTCGGTAAACAGTAGAATGATGTGCTTTACCGAAAAGCTCTATCTTGGTCTCATCTGTCCACAAGACGTTTTCCCAGAAGGCTTTTGGCTTACTCAAGTACATTTTGGGCAAACTGTAGTCTTGCTTTTTTATGTCTCTGTGTCAGCAGTGGGGTCCTCCTGGGTCTCCTGCCATAGCGTTTCATTTCATTTAAATGTCGACGGATAGTTCGCGCTGACACTGATGCTCCCTGAGCCTGCAGGACAGCTTGAAATGTCTTTGGAACATGTTTGGGGCTGCTTATCCACCATCCGGACTATTCTGCGTTGCAATCTTTCATCAAGCGTTTTTTTTTCCTCATCCGTCCACGACCAGGGAGATTAGCTACAGTGCCATGGGTTTGCAAACTTCTTGATAATGTTGCGCACTGTGGACAAAGGCAAATCTAGTTCTCTGGAGATGGACTTGTAACCTTGAGATTGTTGATATTTTGCCACAATTTTGGTTCTCAGGTCCTCAGACAGTTCTCGTCTCCTCTTTCTGTTGTCCATGCTCGTGCTTAGTTGTGGCACAGACAGACACACAATGCAAAGGTTAAGTGAACGTCTCTCCTTTTTATCTGCTTTCAGGTGTGATTTCTATATTGCCCACACCTGTTACTTGCCCCAGGTGAGTTTACAGGAGCATCACATGCTTGTAACATTCCTTATTTATCCGCAGTTGTGAAAGGGTGCCAATACTTTTGTCCAGCCCATTTTTGGAGGTTTGTGGTGACATTATGTCGAATTTGCTTTTCTTTCCTCCCCTTTTTTTGTTTTGTCCCAATACACACAAAGGGAATAAACATGTGTATGCAAAACATGTGTTTAATGCAATTCGTGAGAAATACATGATTTAAATATCAAGGGTGCCAACAATTTCGGCCATGACTGATGCTTTATATCAATGTGCTCAGTTCCTGTTGAAGTTTATGAATTTGTATGTAAAGTGACTCATGTGGGATGTACGTTTTATGGCCCCAGCTGTCATGCCCACAGGTCGTGACCGACTGAGTTATAGTTTTACGATGGGCCAAGGAAAGTGTTTGTCAGACACTTCTGGCACCAGGCTAATTGGGGTTATAACCATGGAGCTTATTCAGCTGTGCCCTATGCACTTGTGACCCCAGTGCACACACACAGACCACATTCCATTCAAAGGGGAGGGGGGGGAACTGGACGGAGTGAGAATGATATTTGCAGATTAGGATACAAGATGGGAGACCTTAACAAAATGGCTGTCAGGTCCATATCTAAGCGCACAATTGCCACAGCCACTACCCAGGCTTTTAACGCCATCCTACTTGAAGACTTCCAGGGATGCTATGAAGAATTGAAAAATCACTGGGAGCGTTGTGTACACTCACAAGGTGCATACTTTGAAGAAGACAATGTTCAATTGTAAAATGTTTCAATAAAATAATTTTTTAAATATCATTCTCATTACTTTCTGAACACACCTCATACTTTAAAGCCCAGCTACCTCCCAAAATCTATCCCCTTGCTTCCCTTGTGGTCTTCACTAGTTATAAGTTTTTTTTTATTACTTATTTTTTCTAAAGTTTTTGGGCAAGCCACGTGATGCTGTAGGGTAACCTTCATCTCATACTCTTCTCAAGGCTGGACAGTCCATAATGATACAGATGGCAGCACTGATAGGATGCACGGAAGGGCACTTTGATTCCCCTAAGTGGGTGGGCTCATGTCACTCTGACATCAAAGGTTGTATTAGAGTTAGTATTGCTGCCTGACAGTGCTGTACAGATTGCCATGGTCATAATGCTTCACGGAGCAGCAACATTTATACAGAATGTTGTGTTTTGGGAGGTGATTTAGGTGAATAGGACTGCAACACATCCACTTGGTACATGTGTATACAGCTGTCTTTTCTACAGAAGCTGGTCTCAGGGCTGGCTTTTGTCAAAGCGACATGCTGGAAAACCAGCATCCGATCAACGCTTGCAGCCAATGGCTGCGAGTGCTGATCAGTATATTCTGGTGGGGAGTCCCCTGTCAGAATCCAATAAAACGGGAATAAAATGGCAGAGATTGACATGCCAACATTACTTGTGTTGATGCAATGATCTGTCAGTTTTTTTTCATTCAACTCACTGGTTGAACAAAAGAAAACTGAGAGTGTGTATCTAGTTTAACAGTCCCCACAGGCTTCTATTAAGAATGTAATGAGATCGTATGCCATAAAAACATTCCAAAATACTGACGTAAACATGTAACAATGATTGCGGAAAACTTCAGATCGTGGAACAGTTATTGGGTTTAAACCAATTTTAATTATGAATTAAACATTAACCTTTAATACCAAACAGAACCTCTGTAAACCATTAACAGAGCAACATGCTTACTCATTAAGACTCATGAAGTAATATCTTACACCAACCAAATAAGAGTTCATTATCCACTGTCCACCTACAGAGTGAGTGATATTACCCCAGAAAGATGGACCTCAGAGAAAATAACAAATGGGAGGGAGGAGGGGGAGCAGGTCAAAAGATCTAAAAAGAAGGCTAAAAGTGATCCAGAGGTGAATCCAGAGGATAGACCTGAGGTAACTGCTGACACTGCCCAGTGACAGGGAGGGATACAGGTAAAAGTTTGCACTGATTGGTCAGATGTTTCCCGCCAAAAGATTTGCCAACAATCCAGCACTCACCTTACTGAAGGTCTGCCCAACAGTTGAGGTAAATCATCCTAGGAACAGCTTGTCACTGAAACACAAAACAGAAAGAACCAGCATAGCAGACCCTCTTAACCACTTCCCGACCGGCCGTTGTATATAAACGGCCAGACGGTGGCAGTGCAGGGTTGGGTGGCCGTTTATAAACGGCCTCCCCGCACCCTGCTTGTGCGCTCTCCCTGGGAGCGAGCAGCACCGCGATCCGGTGCCCGCTGTGTCCTCCGGGCACAGTGGAACACCGATCGTCGGACGGGACCTCTGTACGAGGTCCCGATCACATGCAAAGTAGTAAGCAAGATGTCACTTGTGACATCATTGCTTACTACGTGTGAAATCTGTGAATGATCACAGAGGTCACATGGTACAAGGCTATTCACAACAGCCTTGTACCATGTGACAAGCTGTGACCAATCACAGCTCACTCAGTACTTCTCAATGACTGCAATAATGCAGACAGAGAGAAAGAAAAATTATTGCTTTTACATCCTATATGGGTGTAAAAGCAATCAGTGTAAAAAAAAAAAAAAAAAATCTTCATCACCCCCCACAAGTAATACAGTGTCACCATGGTGACACTGTACTGCTAGGGTAACAGTATGTAAAAAAAAATAAAAATAATAATATAAAAAAATTAAATAAAAATGTAAAAAAAAATGTTTTTCGTTATAAACTAATTTGGAATTTTTTTTTCTACTGAAAAGATAACGGAATACATTTTGGCCAAGATTTATGATGAAATATTATTTATTTGCAAACTTTTATTAAAAAAAACACTTTTTTTCAAAATTTTTGGACTTTTTCATTTACATAGCAAAAAAATAAAAATCCCAGCGGTGAATAAATACCACCAAAATAAAGCTTTATCTGTCTCAAAAAATGGTAAAAAATTCATTTGGGTACAGTGTTGCATGACTGCGCAATTGTCATTAAAGTGTGATAGCGCTGAAAGCTGAAAATTGCCCTGGTCAGGAAGGGGTAAAAGTGTCCGAACTGGAAATGGATTAAAGGTAAATTCACTTTTACCAAAAACCTGCCTAGGCAGATAAGGAACATCTGTAGATAAAAGCAAGCTGTGCAGCTTTGACCAAAGTTGAATAATACCCGGCTATAGGTGTAGGCCATTTATGTACCTCATAAAGCCTGACTAGAAACCTGCCAGGAAGTTGCTAAGGGAACTTAGCAGTTACTGTTCTCCTCCATCATCACAGAATGTGCTCTCATACGCTGAACTCAAAACGTCTGTGTCACGGAAGAGAAAGTACATGTGAGTGGGTTTGAATCAGAGAAAGGGCTCATTCCTATGATGGTGAAGGTGAGCAGTAACAGCTAGGCCTCTCTTAGCAATGTCCTGGGAGTTTCCAGTCAGGCTTCATGAGGTATTTAAATGGCCTACACCTATAGCAAGGGCAATATTCAACTTTAGTCAGAGCTGCTTGGTTTGCTATTATCTACAGATGTCCCTTACCTGCATAGGAAGGTTTTTAGTAAAGGTGAACTATGTCTTTAAAGCTGGCCATAGGTGGATCAAATCTCAGCCGGTTCAGCAGGGACTGGTCGAGATTCAATCCATCATTAGGCAGGCTGGTTGTTCTGAAATCGATCCATCAATCAACTCAGTACAATCAGTCTGTCAGGTTTTTCCAGCAGTGGTCATTGTATTCGGTCATCAGGGAAGGCTCCCAGCAGAAGAGATTGCAGGAAAGAAAATTGCTCGATTCTCCCATCAACACAGTCAGTGTTGATGGGTGATTTGAGCAATTTTCTTTCCTGCAACCCATGATTGTAGGAAAGAACATTGTACAATGTATAGCCTGCTTGACAGTCACCATAGCCCTCTATTATGAATATAACCCTTTTAAAAAACATACGGGTGATAGGGGTGACAATCTAATGGGGCCACTTTTCTAGTTCGTGTGTAAAATTGCTTGTTTCCCACAACACACAAAACGCACACAGTGGCACCCTTGTTCATCTAGCATTCCCCTCCCATCTAAGCACATGGTACCACATTACCGTGCATTTTTAGTGCAATATATATTTTAGAAATCATGCCAGCACCTTTTTTTGCATGTTTCTCAATCATACATTGATATTAGTGCATGCAAGAAAGTGCACACATTCAGACTGTCCCATGTACCTCCTGGTATGAAGAAGGCCTGAATGGACTTTCCTGAAAACCACATTTACTGTTTAGAAATTAATTTGTTTGAGAAATATTTTCTATCCTGTTCCTTCGAATTTTCTCATTACTGAGGTTGAAAACAAAAAAAGTTCACCCCAATAAAGATGAATAAATCAAACGAATGTTCCCAAAACAGAAATTTTCATGCAAAAGTACATTTTTTTGAGTGTATTCAGGTAATTTTTGCCCCATAGACTTCAATGGGAAGGCCTGTAAATATGCAATATGTATGTTTTTGATGAGGATGGACGTCGCTCAAACCGAACCCCAGGAGTCTGAGAAGAACAGGATGTAGTAGAATGGACTCAGCCGTCACTCTGGCCACGCCGTCTGATGTGTTTCACGGGGACAGACTAAAACATTTAATGTGAAAATGGCTTAATGTAGCTTAACGTGCAATAAACTGTCTAAATCTTAATCAATTGACTTGAAACTTTGCACAGCCCAAGTTCTCAACGTCCCAAACATGTCCTAGAAGTTTCATAGATTTCAGCCTTCCACAAAGAAAATGGGGGGACATTAAGCTTGTTTTTTGGGGAGCTTAATGTAGCTTAACGTACAAAAAAGAGCTTGGATGTTGACCAATCTCCCCCAAACTTCACACATTAGAAGACCCTATCTATGGCAACATATTCTGAAAATTGCAGGTCATTTAGTAAATCACACCAAAAGTTATTCACATTAAGCTATATTTTACAGTGCTAAAACATTTAATGTGAAGAGCTTAATGTAAAAAGAGCTTAACGTACCATAATGTGCCTAAACCTCAATCAATTGACTTGACACTTTGCACAGCCCAAGTTCTCAATGTCCCAAACATGTCCTAGAAGTGTCATAGATTTCAACCTTCCAGAAAGAAAATGGGGGACATTAAGCTTGTTTTTTGGGGAGCTTAATGTAGCTTAACATACAAAAAAGAGCTTAGATGTTGACCAATTTCCCCCAAACTTCCAACAATACGAGACTCTATCTATGTCAACATATTCTGAAAATTTCAGGTCATTTGGTAAATCACACCAAAAGTTATTCACATTAAGCTATATTTTACAGTGCTAAAACATTTAATGTGAAGAGCTTAATGTAAAAAGAGCTTAATGTACCATAATGTGCCTAAACCTCAATCAATTGACTTGACACTTTGCACAGCCCAAGTTCTCAGCGTCCCAAACATGTCCTAGAAGTTTCATAGATTTCTGCCTTCCACAAAGAAAATGGGGGACATTAAGCTTGTTTTTTGAGGGGCTTAATGTAGCTTAACGTACAAAAAACAGCTTAGATGTTTACCAATCTCCCCCAAACTTCACACAGTAGAAGACTCTATCTATGGCAACATATTCTGAAAATTTCATATCATTTGGTAAATCACACCAAACGTTATTCACATTAAGCTATATTTTACAGTGCTAAAACATTTAATGTGAACAGCTTAATGTAAAAAGAGCTTAATGTGTAATAAACTGTCTAAATCTTAATCAATTGACTTGAAACTTTGCACAGCCCAAGTTCTCAATGTCCCAAACATTCCTAGAAGTGTCATAGATTTCAGCCTTCCACAAAGAAAATGGGGGACATTAAGCTTGTTTTTTGGGGGCCTAATGTAGCTTAACGTACAAAAAAGAGCTTAGATGTTGACCAATCTCCCCCAAACTTCACACATTGGAAGACCCTCTCTATGGCAACATATTCTGAAAATTTCAGGTCATTTGGTAAAATCACACCAAAAGTTATTCACATTAAGCTATATTTTACAGTGCTAAAACATTTAATGTGAAGAGCTTAATGTAAAAAGAGCTTAACGTACCATAATGTGCCTAAACCTCAATCAATTGACTTGAAACTTTGCACAGCCCAAGTTCTCAACATCCCAAACAGGTCCTAGAAGTTTCATAGATTTTGGACTTCCACAAAGAAAATGGGGGACATTAAGCTTGTTTTTTGGGGGCTTAATGTGGCTTAACGTCCAAAAAAGAGCTTAGATGTTTACCAATCTCCCCCAAACTTTACAAAATACAAGAATCTACATCACGGGTACTGAATTAAAATTCATGGAGGTCCAGTTTTTAATCCTTTTTTTCTGCAGAGTTCCGAATCTCATTTTTATTCTATGACTCAGGTCATTAACGTCACAGCCCCTTTTCAATTAATTGCCTCAGTCCCCCTTTTCCAATCACACCCCTCTATATATCACAACTCCCTTTCACATCAGAGCCCCCAACATTACAGCCACACTTACATCACATCCCCTTGCAATCATAGACCCCTCCCTCACATCACAGTCACCTTTGCAATCACAACCCCCCACATAACAGCTCACCCCCTCTTGACATCACAGCCCTCCTCCTCACATCACAAACCCTGCATATCACAGCCCCCTTTCACATTACAGCCACCCACATCACATCACAGCCCACCCATAATACAGCTCCCCCATCTTACATCACAGCCCGGCTTATCACAGCTCCCCCTCCCGCATCACAGCTTCCCTTCTCACATCACAGCCCCCCATACCACTGCTTCTCCCTCTCACATTATTGCCCCACTCTCACAAAACTTTATATTACAGCACTCCCCCCATTCTCATCACAGCCCCTTATATCACAGCTCCCCATTCTCACATCACAGTCCCCTATATAACATCACAGCCCCCCATATCACAGCCCCCATATCACAGATTCTCCTTATCACATCACAGCTCCCCAAGTATTACAATTCCCCTCTCTCACAGCCACTCATATCAGAGCTCACCCCTCACAGCTTCCTCCTCTCACTTCCCAGCCCCCCATATCACAGCTCCCTCTCTGACATCACAGACCCCCCCATAATCTCCCCCTAGCTTAACTCAGTGTTGTGGAGGGCTGGGAGAGTGGCAAGTTAGACTCCTCTTCTGGGTGCGCACACCTGCTCCTGCCACTAGGCTCCGTGCCTCCTGCCCTCCTCCTTACTGTGGGTTCAGTGGTGGATGAGTGCATTGGGGGGAAGAGGTTGGGCATACTCCTTTACACCTTACTTTCCTCCAACACACTCTGCTGTGACTTCAACAGCGGTGGCAGGTGAGTGAATGTGGGGGGGAGGGGATTCAGGTTCTCCTTGCTGTGGGTTCAGTGGCGACAAGTGTATTCAGGGGGAGGGGTCGGGCAACTGCTGCTCCCCCTGTAGACCTTCCATTCCTTCCACCTGCTCTGCTGCGG